AGAAAGAAGAAAAGTGTTTCAAAAGAAGTGTTAATCAAGAGAGTCACATAAGTTTTAGCAGACAGAATCCCGATTAATAAGTTAACATTAAGTCAGTTTTTCATGAACAACGAAGCACTGAAGTCAGCCAGGTCTCCAAAAAGGAGAACTTTCAAACTAGAAATATGCCGAAAACATTCTATTATCTGCATCTTGGAGTCCAGCTGCAGTGCTCTATAAAAGTATCTTTACACTAACTAGGGGGAAAAGAGTGTGACTTTACTGTTTTTTTTCCCTTAGGTTACTGAGTAGAGTTCCTGGTGTAGGCCCTTGTTGTTTACTTTATATATTGTGGTGTGTCCTCGTTCATCTCCAACTTATATAATTTATCCCTCCTCCCCAACTTTTCCCCTTTGGTAACCCTAAGTTTGTCTCTAAGTGTGTGAATGTTTCTGTTTGATAAATAAGTGCCTCTGTATCATGTTTTTTAAAAGTCCACATATAGGTGATTTCTCTTTCTCTGACTTTTATTACTAGTATAATCTCTAGGTCCATTCATGTTGCTGAAAATGGCCTTCCTTTTATGGACATCTATCTTATATAGAGAGCAAAAAACTCTGCATGACAAATACACATTAGACCGATCCCCAAAAAATAAATTTTAAAAAACTTATTTACTTATAAAATTCTTTCCAAATTTAACTGCTTAAGTACAAACTGTTAAGTCTTACTAGTGAGGCTACGTGTGTATTACTTCCAGAGAAAAACCAAGACTGAATTTTAAATAGCATTTTCAGTGCCATTCAGAAAAGCCCAAATGAAAAGTTCTGAAGGTTTGTGCTTACTGATATCCTCACTGTGTTAGCTTTATTTTTGAGTATAAAACCCTAAAATAAATTTATTATTTCCAACAGCAGGTTTTTCTATGATGTAGTTCAAAGGTCTATCCTCAGAAAGTGTATGTATCAGATTTTACATTTATCGCCACTAGATGTCAGGAGTGCAGTGTGGCACAAAAACTTTGGTTTTATGTCCCATGGCCGATGCTTCTTTGTAGTGTATTTATCTGAGCTCAGCTACTATTTGAGACTTACTCCTATTTCACAGCCATCTAATTTTCCTACAGAGACATACTCATACATAGCAATGCACAGCGGAACAGCTGGGACCTTTAGGACAGTCCTGGGAGCCAGCAGGCCCACTACAGTAAACGATGGCTCACAGTGGCTTCAAGTTTCTTCATGTGGTAGATTTGGTCTTAACATTAGATGGGCCTGCTATATTAGGCTAACCAGCCTTCTTTATTTACAAAACATTTTCACAGGTTAACACATTAAAATGTATTTGTAAACCAATTAGATGTCATAATAAATCTCAATTTTTAAAGTTTCTTTCAAAAACGCAGTGAGACTTATTTAGTACAGTAAGAATTTCTGCAATGTTGACGATAGGAAACACAAGAATTTCTGGATCAATGTGTATAAATGAAATATAATTTCCTATTTTTCAAATAAATCAGGCACATATAGTCTTTGAAAATATTTAGTAAGTGCAAAACTTACTCCAAAACCCTCATTCTAATTACTTCTCTCTTCTCCAGCAATGTTTCTAATAGAAATGGAAGCCAATATTCATTTTTCATTTTTTATGCTGAATAGTGAATGACCAAAATGTGAGCAAGAAAGAAGACTTTCAAAGGTCAAAAACCCAGAGGGACTAAAATAACCAATTTGAATGATTTAACAATCTGAATAACTAGCAGTTGAGGAGACAAAGTGATTTTATTTTTTAACTTTTTATTTTATATTAAAGTATAGTTGATTAACAATGTTAATTTCAAGTGTAAAGTGGTTCAGTTATACATACAGATTTTCCGTTTACTAAAGCTGAAACTGAAGGAGCTGATGTTAACACTCTACTTCAGCATAAAGTCAGGCTCTCAGAGGGGAGGCGTACACGCGGCTGCTGGAGAGAGTAAATGAATCTAGAGCAGAGCCTCCTTCAGTGCTGGGCAGTTCACAAAAACCAGCTTAATAGCCATTATGGACTAACACTTTATTCAAAATGGTAAAGAAACTGCTTACTAAGTTGTAATGTGACTTGCCACTTTTAACCAAAAGGGCACTGCACTCACCTCTACCAGCTCTGCCGACGGCAACGTTGTACGTTGGCTCCCCACCTTGACTCTTTGTCCGGATGTCCATTGTGCAGTCGCCGTCCACGTATAGGCTATCTCTGATCACTGAGCACTTCTTTGCGCCAAGAGTCAAACCATTGGTAAAGAAACCTTCCCGGTCTTTTCCTACAATCATATCTATTTCTCCTGGCTGCCCCCGCCCCCAACCACAAAAAAAAAAAAAAAAAGAGAGAGAGAAAACAAAACAAAAAGTTGTAGTTAATTTCTTGTCTTGGTGTAACAGGAAAACTGTCAAGTTTGTACTACCACTACAAGACATCCACATTTCATTAATGTAAAACCAAGTTCCCGTCTTTTTTAAAAGATTACTTAATCTTACAGGATGATATGTTCTATCAGTCAGTTAGTTAGATTTCACAGTTAAGGGAGAGTGGTCTGTTAACTAAGCCCAGTCTATGCAAAGAATCTCCAGTTGGTAGTTGACACTAGATAAACTACAAACCTGAGTTATTTATAAACTTGTTTCAAGTCAGGTGGCAGCCGAAGTGCTTATGTAATGGTAAAGATTCACCTAAAAACTTTCAGCAAAATCTTATCACAGTCACGTTAACAGTCTTGTCATATCAAATTTAAAGTTGTTTGAAAGTTTCCTGAAACAAAGTCCCCGCTTGGCAGATCTGTTCACATCTACTCTGTTTCAAATAGCTTGACATACCCCCTGAGAATGAACCTCAGGCCCTGAACCTCAGGGCATCCTCCAATTCATATTTCCCTCCTCTCTTATTTTAGCCCCTACTCCCCCTCCAACTCTCCTTCCCCTCCCTCCTCAGTAATCAGTTTTCTTTCCGGGCAAATGCAAAGAGGATTCTGTCTGTAGCACTGCAATAGGCAACCATGAAAGAGTAGAGAAAATGGAGGGAGAGTGGGAAAGAAACTGAGGTAGCGACCAGAACCGGAAAGGAGAAAACGTGCATTCTAACATTCCATGAATAAGAAGGAAGGCGTCGCCCCCATCAGAACTGCAGAGTCATAGCAGGCCCCAGCCATTTCCATGCACACTCCCGCAATCTTCCCAGCCAGGCAGCGGGAACTCACACACAAAGACAAGAGGACTGCAGGAAAAAAGTTGATCGCCAGACGCCAATTCTCTGTAAGAATTGTAGTCCACTGCGGCAATAGAGAACCTGAAAGCACCTGGATCAGGAGTTCTACACAGTGAGACCTTAAACCATGTTAAGTAGTACAAGAATAATTAGTAGCACCCATAGTAAGGGGCCTGAATTTTGGCATTTGATAGGAAGGGGGCGTGAAGCTTAGGAAATTAAGAGAATGGTCCTGTATTTGATATAATGTAACCATTCCAGACCCTTATGCAGAAAGAGGCAAAACAATAAAGCAGCACTGGAAGGCTTATTGACAATCATTCCCCAAACATGTGGCAACCGAGTCGAACCACCAAGTCACAGGAAATCAGGCACCGGGAAGCATTAATCTGCATTAGTTCCCTTACGAAGATCACTAAAGAGGGAGGGACTTGGAGAACTGAAGCGTCCCCTCGGTGTTCGCAGATTATTGAAAGCCCCAAGCACCCCCTTTTTTAGAGCTCTGTTGCGTAATTGGGGATAACTGTATATCGATGAATCTTCATAGGAGAGAAATCAATGGCAGTTCGCCATCTTGGAGAATTAAAAAAAAAAAAATCCTATGGAGCCAGAGATTCACGAATCCACCTACGTTGTCTGCGTACATTTCTCGCAAGCCCAAGAGGCCTGGACACCGGCAAACCTACGCCAAGTGGCTGCGAGGTTCCTGGGGGCCGGGCAGCCACCGCCTCCCAGAGCCCGCGGCGCGGGCGGCGCGCCGTCCCCGGAGCTAGGGGCGGCCCGGCCACCCGAGGACCCGCGCCCCAGCCCGGCCCCTCCGGTCCCCGCTTCCAGCCGGGAACGTACAAAGCAAACCCCAGGGCTTCCAGGGGACCCCGGGGCGGGGGCGAGAAAAGGGAGAAGGCCCCCCACCCACGGACCGGTGCGCGCCCCCTCCCCCAGCCTCATCCGGACAAGCACCGGGAACGCCGGCGAGCCCGGCCGCCGCCCCCGCCACCCAGCGCAGCCCCGGCGAGGGGGCGTCCCCGGGCCTCGGCCTCTCCGCCCGCCCGGCAGCCGCATCCTCGGCGCCCGCCGCCCCGCACACCTGGCCGGCGCGGCCCTGCCCGAGTCCGGCCCCGCGCTGCGGCACTCCCACGGCCGGCCGGCCGGCCCCGCTCGGGTCCGGGAGCCCCGGTCCCCTCCGGTCCTCACCGTAATGCTCTGGAAGACGCCCCCGGCCGTGGCTGCCCAGACGTATTTGGCGTCGCAGTAGCCGACAATGGCGGCCTCCTGGCAGCAGCCATCGCACATCAGGTTATCCACGTAGCTCTGCCAACCGGCCATCTTCGAGCCCTTCGCACTGCAGCGGGGACGGCGAGGAGCAGCAGGCGCAGCGGCGGCGGCGGCGGTCGCGGGCGGCGGCGGCGCGGGGGGAGGCGGGGCGGGGGCGGAGAGGAGGCGGCTCTGCGCAAGCACCGACCGCCCCCCTCCCCGAGGAGCTGCGGAGGGAGGACGCGGGGACGGCGGTGAGGGACGAGCCGCGGAGCGCGCCCGGCCCGGCCGCCCTCCCGCCCGCGCCTGCGGGGCTGATTAACTAGCGGCGGCAGGCTGCGGGGCGGCCGTGCGGGCGATGGCGCCGGGGACGACTCCCCGCAGCGGCTCCCTCGGCTCTCCGCCGTCCCGGCGGGCGTGCGCGCGCGCGTGCGTGCGATCCTTCCGCGGCGCCCTGGCTCCGAGGGTCCCGAGGAGGGAGGGAGGCTGAGCGGGGGCACGGCGCGGAGGGATACCGTCCGCGGCAATCACGGCGCCACGTGCGGCCGGCGAGGTCTGCGTGCGGCGGGCGGCTGAGAGTGGCCGAGCCTCGGACCCGCGGTCTGCGCACGGGGCGTCTCCCTCGCCGCTCTCGGTACCCCCGGGACGGCGGCCTCTGGGGCGCCTCGGAGTCCCCGCGTCCGGGCGGCGAAACGCTTCGGTCCTGCGGCCGGCGGCTCGGGATGCGGGACCTGCGCCTCGGTGTCGGATTGCAGAGTTGCCCTGGTGACGGGATGCGGCGCGTTGAATCCTCTTTGTGGTCCGGGCGGGCGGGTAGCAGAGTCGGCCACTGTCATCTCAGGCATCCTCAGTGGGACCCTCTTCTCTGGACCTCTCGGCCACAAAGGCTACCAGGCGGGCGCGCTCCAGCAGTCTGAAATCAGAGTGGCATTCTTGGCTTTCAGGAACATTTCTGAGCTTTGCCGGTCTTTCATTGTTGCTTCATTTGTGTACCAAGGGCCTCTCATTGTGTGGGTTCCTTGACAGGAGAGCCTCTCTTGCCCTGTTTTAAAGCGGCTAAATTGCTCGTAAATGCCGAAGAAAACAAATAGCGAGCAATGTAAAACTATTGGTTGGTAACTGGGAATATTACTGGTGGGTCGAAGAAATCTGAATATATAAAGAATTTTAAAATCTTAAGAACGGGTTCGTTGTATGAACATGTTAATAGTTCTACTCTCATAAAGGTAAACTAATTTCAGGACCCAGATCGGAGAATGGCTTGTATTTAAGTGGTAAAACATGGGTAGACTCCCTGTAAATATTACGTGGTCTTTAGTAACCGCTGGGCGTTATGACTATGCAAAGGATTAGGAGACGTCCCACAATTTCGATTTTAAATGAACTAAACGATCTGTCAATCAAGGGAAGAGAGCGTCTCAAAGCGTTTTTGAAAAAGTTGATTTTCAACTTTAAAGTTATCATGTAAGGTCACAATTACTGACAAGGAGGATTCCACAGATGTCGCTCAGGAAAGAAGATAAAAACGTTGCTACGTAATCTAGTTGGTTCTGACGTTTTGTATGTTTTCTGATGTTTGCTTTGAAATGTACAACTCTTAGCAGCAAGGAAGGGAAATCACCGTAAGCACTCCCAAGACAGGCTTCTGTCAGACTGAGATAATGTATTCTTTCATGTTCTGATGATACATAGAACCTATGTGCTATAAAATGTGTGCCAAACTTGTTTCATTTTTGCAAATGTGCCGCCCACCTGATTTAGTCACACTTACTCATTCTTGTCTACTACTTTTTTTGTGTGTATGGTGGTCGTTGATGGTTTTAATCCTTGTTTTACTAGTTGATCAGCCTCAAAATTAATGATACACTGCACAGTGCCGATGTAAGAATTCACTAAGCTGTACACTTATTCGCACTCTTTATACAGGTTGTAATTCAGTAACTTTAAACAGTAAACAAAGGTAACGAGTAAAGAAAAATAATAAAATGATAGTGTGAAGTTGAAATTGACTTACTTATTAATCTACAATGAAGTTTTATTTGAAGTTTTTAAGATTTAATTTTTACACTATTTTCTTCATATAGCAAAGCAATGCAAATAATTCTTATTCTTTTATTGTCTAAACAGCAAAAGAATTAAGTCAACTGAATATTCTGCATATTCAAATCTCAAAAGATTCTAAAACACATTGGGTAAAACAAAAGAATTTAAAATTCTTATCATTTTTTAATATTTTTCAAAATACCTAAAATTACTGTTTTATTTTTCAAACGGTGTCATTTCTATCCCAGTATTGCACACACAATTCCTCCTCCAGGGGATCTTTCTGAAGCCTGGAGAATAAAAATAAAAAAGTGAAAGAACTATGAAAAATAAACTTGTGTAATAGACCAGGTTTTACAGTTTAGATTTTGAGATGATGCATTCGAAAAGTCTATTCACTTCTCTTTTTGGTATTATAATAAAAGACTCCTAATGCCCTTTTTCTTTAGAACAAGCCACAGAGCACGGCTGCCTTATTTTCTATTTGTATACAGTGATCTGGTCCTATTTCATTTAACTGTTGCTTACCACAAGGTGTTTCAAAAGGCATAAGTAGATGTTGAACACTGTTTTAAGAATTGTAATATAAGTCCAAGAGAGTACCAATATGAGAAAAAGTACCAATTTGTATCTTTCTCTGCTTTTATTCTGGTAATTGATAATAGTGATGTCTGAGCAGAACCAAAGAAAAGTAAAAGCACTGTTGTTGAAACAGATATCCAGAAGTAGCTAATAACAATCAGTTGTAGCATATTTAAATACAGAATGCATTATTTTGCATTGTTTCCAAAATATTTTGTTCTTATTTAGAATAAGTAATAATAACTGTGGTAAGTCATATTTAATGTACAGTCAAGGAGTGCCAGAGCCATTTATGTCCACATGTAAAAAATCATTTGACATTTTAGCAAAACACCAAGAAACAAGTTGAAATTAAGATGTATCCAACCTGATAACTGTGGTGTTGGAGAAAACTCTTTAGAGTCCCTTGGACTGCAAGGAGATCCAGCCAGTCCATCCTGAAGGAAATCAGTCCTGGGTGTTCATTGGAAGGACTGATGCTGAAACTCTAATACTTTGGCCACCTGATGTGAAGAACTGACTCATTTGAGAAGACCGTGATGCTGGGAAAGATTAAAGGTGGGAGAAGAGGACGACAGAGGATGAGATGGTTGGATGGCATCACTGACTCAATGGACATGAGTTTGAGTAAACTCTGGGAGTTGGTGATGGACAGGGAGGCCTGGTGTGCTGCAGTCCATGGGGTCGCTAAGAGTCGGACACAACTGAGCGACTGAACTAAACTGAACCTGATAAACATTGGGGTAAGAGCTATAGAACTAACCCCAATACAGTAAAACTCTAGTAATTAATTAATAATAACTAGGCCCACGTCAAGTCCTCAATTAAGATTTTGACTTCCACACTTGGTTTTCTTCAAAGGTGTTCTAATTATAAAATTGTCACAAGAATCAAGAAAGTTCAGAAAATGGAGCAAAAGCACTGTTAATGCCACCAGCAATACAAATGTTATCTTTTAAATCTATTCACTCGTTTTATTTATGATTTTTACAGTTAAGAACAAGGAGAACCTACAATTCTGGATTTGTCAATTTTACCCTGAAACTATGAATTTTTTTTTCTAGCTTTAGGTTATTTAGTACAAGTTAACATATTTTCTTTCTGATAAATTGAACTTTCGAGTAATATCCCTCTTTAGGGCTTCCCAGGTAATGCTAGTGGTAAAGTATCTACCTGCCAGTTCAGGAGACAAAAGAGATGTGAGTTTGATTCCTGGGTTGGGAAGATCCCCTGGAGGAGGAAGTGGCGACCCACTCCAGTATTCTTGCCTGGAGAATTCCATGAACAGAGAAGTCTGGGCGGGCTGCAGTTCATGGGGTTTCAGAGTCAGACACACCTGAGTACAATGGCCTTCTTTATCACCAGTATTGTTTTTGTCGTAAAATCTGTCTTTTAAAAATTGAAGTATAATTGGTTTACAACGTTCTGTTAGTTTCTGGCGCACAGCAAAATGATTCAGTTATATATTGTTATTTAGTCACGAAGTCATGTCCAGGGGTAAAGTCTATCTTGTCAGAAATAAACGATGTTATGCTTGTTGCCTTGTTTTTAAATTTTGGTTCTGGCTGTCCTGGGCCGTCACCGCTGTGCGTGGGCCCTGTAGTTGGGGAGGGGATGCTGCTCTCTAGTTGAGTGCAGGCTTCTCACTGCAGCGCCTTCTGTTGCGCAGTACAGACGAGCTCAGGCCCTGGGGTGCAAGCTCAGTAGTTGTGGCACACAGGCTTAATTGCTTGGTGGCATGAGTGATCTTTCCAGATCAAGGGTCCAACCCATGTCCAGTGCATTGGCAGTCCGATTCCTAACCACTGGGCCGCCAGGGAAATCCCCTGCTCTCCATTTATTGACATTTCTCTAATGCACCCTTCCTGTCTCCCTCCTGCCTCCCACCTCCCTTTTGCCTCCCCCTCCTCCTTTCTCTTCCTCCTGGTCCTCCCTCCTCCTCCCTCCCCATCTCTTGTTCTCACTCTCTCTGTCCTTAAATTTTAATGTCTCTTTTTATGTTCACTTAGCTACATTTTATCTTTTTGTCTGATATGCAAACTATTCTTTAATTTTTTCATTCATAGGGAACTCATATGTTCATTTTCTATTCCTTTAGTGTTACACTGAAATTTTACCATGCACATTTAATAGAATAAAACTTCAAGTTAAATAATATATTACACCCTCCAACCAGATAATCCAAGGACCTTAAAACAATTTAAGTCTGGTCACCCCTCTTCATAATACTATTATTTTACACAGATGCTTCAGTTCAATTCAGTCACTCAGTGGTGTCTGACCCCATGGGCTGCAGCATGCCAGCCTTCCCTGTCCATCACCAACTCCTGGAGCTTGCTCAAACTTGTGTCCATCGAGTCGGTGATGCCATCCTGCCATCTCATTCTCTGTCGTCCCCTTCTCCTCCTGCCTTCAATCTTTCCCAGCATTGCGGACTTTTCTAATGAGTCAGTTTTTCCCATCAGGTGGCCAAAGTATTGGAGGTTCAGCATCAGTCCCTCCAATGAACACCCAGGACTGATCTCCTTTAGGATGGACTGGTTGGATCTCCTTGCAGTTCAAGGGACTCTCAAGAGTCTTCTCCAACACCGCAGTTCAAAATTGACAGTTCTTTGGTGCTCAGCTTTCTTTATGGTCCAATTCTCACATCCATATATAACTTCTGACAAATCATAGCTTTAACTAGATGGACCTTTGTTTGCAAAGTAATATCTCTGCTTTTTAATATGCTATCCTGGTTGGTCATAGCTTTTCTTCCAAGGAGCAAGCATCTTTTAATTTCATGGCTGCTGTCACCATCTGCAGTGATTTTGGAGCCCAAGAAAATAAAACTCTCTGTTTCCATTGTTTCCCCATCTATTTGCCATGAAGTGATGGGACTGAATGTCATGATATTCATTTTTTGAATGTTGAGTTTTAAGCCAACTTTTTCACTCTCCTCTTTCACTTTCATCAAGAGGCTCTTCAGTTCCTCTTTGATTTCTGCCATAAGGATGGAGTCATCTGCATATCTGAGGTTATTGATATTTCTTCCAACAATCTTGACTCCAGCTTGTGCTTCATCCAGCCCAGCATTTCACATGATGTACTCTGCATATAAGTTAAATAAGTAGGGTGACACTATACAGCCTTGATGTATTCATTTCCCAATTTGGAACTAGTCTGCTGTTCCTTATCCATTTCTGTTGCTTCTTGATCTCCATACAGATTTCTTAGGAGG